TTGTATTTGAGTATTTGAGTAAAACGTATTCAGTGCAAGCCAACGTCAGTGAACTTTGTTTGCCTTGAACCCGATGTAGTATGTTGTGTGCGGGCGTGGCCGCCGGTGACAAAATACAGAAGCAGCGAGGAGAATTAGAAAACACAAAGAAGCCGCCCAAACTTGGATGTCGTTCACGCCGAAGTCCACTTAGAATCCTCAAAGACGCGTTATATTGATGAAACAGGATGTGTATCGAGGCCGTGAAGCTAGGGAAACTGAGATTAACCCTGGTGTACAACGCGACGCTTGTGGCTGAGTAGAGGCTCGGTGCTTTTGGGCAGTTCTGGGCTTTGGAACTTCGGAAGGTGAGATCGGAATCCGTAATTTCTGTTGACACTTTTTCCTTACATGTGCTTTCAGAGTGTAATGAGAGTCAAGTTTTTTTTTATACTGAACGTTATCAGATGGTTATCCCTAATCTAGTAGCATCGGACCGTGACATTCACTTCCTCAGTGACGTCGCAATCTTCCTGCTTGCTTCCTGCCGCGTCTCCGTCGCTCTTGCCTGAGCCTTTCTCTCCTCTGAACCATCCTGAGCCCGCTGTAGACTGGGATGGAAATTCAGATTACGAGGAACCAGTTGAGCTGAGTGTCGATGATGATATCTGCGAGCTGCGCAAGAACATGACGAAGAGCCGTCAGTGCTATCTTGGATACGCACTGATATAGATCCTCGCTGATCTTGCGATTGACCATTGGGACGCCCGTCATCGCGTGTTGGTGTGTCTTCACGGTCCCGTGGTGCTACTACATTAGGAAACACGTTCTGAGAACGTTCAAAAACAAACATGATCTCATTACACTCCGAAAGTACTGTAGTATGATCCACACCTTCCAGGTCAGTTTCCTAGCTCTGATTTTTTTTCTCTATGTATACTAGTGGCGCAATAGTGCCACTCTGTCGTTAATTGAAAAGAGATCATTATTGCCTTGGTGGTCTAGTAGTATGATTCCTCCTTCGGGAAAACCCCTGCTTCAGAGGAGGCATAATTGGAGGAGGTCCTGGGTTCAATTCCCAGCCAGGGCCCTTTTGACCGCCCTTCTGGACTTTAGGTTCTGACTCAACACAGGTTTCGGCCCGGCCACTGCCGGTGCCAGCCTTCCAGCATGCACATCTATAAATTAATAGGCCCGCAATTCTCCAGTTCAGTCGGAGGCATCGTTCGCCTGGCTAGTGTTCAAACTTGAGGCTGCTATGATATGGATGGTTTAGAATGGGCGGACTCCCAGACCTGTATTCTTTCCCGCACATCTTGAAACCCTTCTATCATCGCCATATTCGATGTAACTCAACAAAAACAGCACACATCGTATTCAAGCATGCCAACTTCATGCGTCGTGACAGAACTTTATCTGTTCCTGGGTCAGGCCAACACGGTTCTCGCAGTGCGTGAACGTCCGTGGAAATTCTTCACAGGATAAGAAAAGCATACCTTTCTCTCGCTCGGTGGACGCTGTAGCACACCCCGTACCAGCTCTATATAAATATCGGTTACCCTGAGTATTTTGTGCTGCCATCCTTCTCCCCCATGTCGCTCGAGAAACACCCCAGTAATGTCGACCAGGCATCGCAGAACAGTAGCAGCAAGTCTGACATTGACCTGCTTTCTTACCACGAGAAGCATGCCGGGCGTCTGATCATCGATCCAGAGTGTGGTCCCATACCCCCTGCTGCTCGATGGTCACCATTAACTCTGAAATTACAGAGAGGCTAAGATCGAGCTTGGAGAAAACGTCGCTAGACAACTCAAACTCACTACAGATGGAACCAAAGTCCTGTGGCCCCAGCCTACTGACTCTCCTGACGACCCCCAAACATGGAGTTCTCGTCGAAAGGCCATCCAGCTCATTATCATTACTCTCGCAGCCATTGTCCCAGACTTTGATTCAGGAATAGGTCAGTCTATATATCCTACTGATTGGTGAAATGCTAATGAAGTGACAAGGGATTGCCGCGATCTTCGCACTCGCTGAGCAGTATGATACGAACGCAGGCGTCATAAACAACTTGACCTCCAAGTACGTTGTTGGAATGTCTTACCCCGCATGCCTGACCACGAAATCTTGCGGTTTAGTTGGAGCATTTTCCTGCTCGGTCGGTTTAAAAACGGAATCTATCTTGCCGATCAACCTTAACTTCTACGGTGTTAGGTTGGGGGGGTATCTTTGCTGTAATGCTCATTAGGCGTTACGGAAGACTCCCAGTGCTGTTCTGGTCACAGGTAGTTCCCTGCAAGGACAACTACCTGTCATTCTGAAGCCGTACACAACCAGGTCTTTGCCCTCGGATTCCTCGTAGGAGCGACTTTCGCACCAACGCTCAAGGTTTTCACAGGTATGTTTTCTCAGCGATTTTTCATTTCATGATGTGTGGTAATGGAAAAATTCCTAGCCATGAGGTGTCTGACCGCTTTTTTCGCGTGAGCACACCCAATGTCGTCGGCTTCTGAAACAGCTGACCGACTTTTACCCAAATTAAGAACTGCACCTCAAGTCACGGTTCGCACACACTAACATGTCCCATGACCGTGTTCCTGGCCTGATGAATTAATTACCTAGGGCCTTTATGTCGTCACTGACATATACCCATTCCATTTGCAAGCTCGCAAGGCGAGTTTAAACACCGTTTATCTAGGCCGTAAAGCTCTAAGCGCTGTTTGACGATGCAGCTCAACATCTGGACTATGGGATTCATCATCTCACCGTTCCTCTCTCCCTTCGCCTTTGGCTTTCTCGTGGCAAGAACGAACTGGCGTTGGGCCTATGGGATTGGATCAATGTATTCGGCCCTCGTCGTCTTGCTGATCATCTTCTTTGGAGAGGAAACGTAAGCCGGTCTGAACTCACTTGGCTGGTATTAAATACTGTCCGCAGAATGTATGACCGTACCCTCAAGCCGATCCCAGAACGTCCGACGACAGGCCTGCGCTACCGCATCGAAACACTCATTGGTATGACTGGGTTAAAGATGGCTAAATATCGTACATCGTGGAAGGAATCTATTCTCACTCCTCTGAACGTTGTCTGGCGACCGCATCTCCTAATGATCCTTTGGTTCGAGGTGGGTAATTCATCCCCTTCTTTCAATCTAAATTTAGGGGCCCGCTAGGCGATGGTCTTCGGATTCGGCATTGGTATCAATGTATGCAACGTGGCGCGTCAGGATCGACTGAACCATTTAACGCATTTATTTTAGGTCACAAATGCTGTGTTCCTGAAATTTCCTCGGCCACTAGGGTATGATTTCGGCCCGTTTGCAATCGCAGGCGGATATGGCACACCGATCGTGAGCCCGAATTTTCCTTATGACAATTGTACACATACAAGTACGCTCACACGCACTTGTCTCTTTGCAGGTATCAGTTATCATTGGAGAGCTTATTGGTCGTTACTTGAATGACTGGATTATGAACACGAGTATCAGACGCAATAACGGTGTCTTTGAAGCCGAGAGTCGTCTCTGGTATTCGCATTTTTCTTCTTCCCAAGCTTATCTGAGGGCGATTATCGCCACAGGGCTTGCTATGTTGCCATGCCACTGTACATCTGCGGCTTTGTTACCCTCGGTGCCGCATTCCAAAAGCATTTGAGCGTCGGCGCACTAATCATGGGCTGGGGTATTGCGGAGCTGGCAGTCATGATAAATACTGTAGCCGTCTACGCGTATTGCAATGACTGTTTTCCAAAGCACCAGGTAGGTAAATTATTTTTATTACCCGATTGTCCATCCATCCGCCACAGGGCGAGATCAGTGCCCTCATCAATCTTGCGAGAATTCTTGGTGGTTTGTATTAAATTTTTCCGCAATGTTCATATCTGAAAAATCGTCGTAGGCTTTAGCGTTGCATACTTTCAAGTGCCTTGGGCTACCAAGCACGGAGCTATTCAAACTTTCGGTGTAGAGGCCGCGTAAGTCATTCCCGGCTGTTATGGAGTGCACCCGAGTGTGGCTCTCATGTCTATCTAGCATTGTTATCGGTCTGTTCCTAGCGGTTGTCCCAGCTTTGCAGATCCGAGGCCGCCGCTTCAGAGTACGTTGTCGTTCCCATGTCCCTCTGTTTTCTCCGCTGTTTTCTTACAACAATCCGTACTAGGAGCTGTACTCCATCAACTCGTGATATTTCCCAATGTTCAGCGAAATTCTTGTTATCGTTGTATCTTTTCATTACAAATGCAAACGGCAAAATCACATATCCACATTCTCTTTACACCTCTCGTCATTGGGTGCGTAAGATACTTCCCGTACCTTACTTTCCCCGCAGTGCCGTGGCCGTCGCACACGTTTTGATTTGGGATGAGCTTCCCCGCATTCGCTTAAAATCTAGCGCAACCTTGCTTACATCTGCACATAGCGAAATTCGATCTGGTATCAGCCTGTTAAAGAACAAATAAGAACACGTCTACTTCTTCTAAATTCCTGGCTGATCCACCATATAACCACACGATTCTTGAACGTTTGCTTGCACAGAAAGATTCACATTGATCGGACTGAGGTAAATGGGGTTAGTGATGGCTAATAGAACTTGATCCCGGCTGTTCGCAGTAAATGTTGTCACAAGGACACCCCAGATGGTCGATACCATTTGGTGAAAGTAGGAGCCGTTGGGGGTGGCTTGTATGCAATAAATACCTTGGCAGACATCGCTTGCCTTTTTGCTGCTTCCTCCCCCCAATCCCCTGTTCTCTGCAATTATGGCCTCAAAATCTGTCGAGAATGTGGAGAAATACGATATTGAAATCCCATCTTATACCAACGAAGACGAGATAGATATATACTCTTTCCATGAGAAACGAGCTGGTCGATTGGTGATAGACCCCGAGTGCGTGCCATGATTGCTTT